CCCCCAAATATATATTTATAGAGGGTGCCCTCCATTCTCCCTTCAGTATATCAGCCTGCACAACAACACATCTTACATGCATGAGTAAATGATGGTTCTTACCTGCATGGCTGAGCCCTTCGCTTGGCACAGTTTGGATTAATGAGCTGCTTGCCTCCTTGCAGCCATGAGACTGCACCACCTCCTCCTGGGTTGGCAAGAAAGCAGAACACAGATCAGTTTCCAGGGCCTGCAGCTTCAAGAAGGAATTCTGCAAACAGAAGCAGAACATCAGGCAGGCTGCAGACGGTCACTCGACAATCCACAATGAGCTGTGATGGAGAAGAGAGGCGATGGGCTGCTTCTATCTCCTATGTGATCTCCTGGACACAGGCGCTTTAATGGGGGAACCACCACAGCAAATGCCTACGCAAATACGACACGTGGGCTGTGCAGCGCACAAAGTGCTCATGTATATGTATTATTTATGACACCCCGGGGGGAGGGGGTGATTCCGTCAAACCGACCTCATTTTCTCCCAGATCGATGGACCTGGTGCGGGGGGATGGGAGATCGATGCACGGCATAGGCTGCCAGGCTTTCATTCATGGCGATGACATCAGCATGTCCTGACGACTGGTCCCGCCCCCTCGCCATTGATGAAATAGGGCGGCCATACCTTTACATTGACAAGCCATGGCAGCGGAGGGGTTAAACGCGTGGGCGGCAGACAGCCGCTGTCACAATACGATTCATCCTCTGCAGTCACCAGAGAATCACACCAATCAATCACCAGCGGCTGCCAAGTGAGCAGATCAGCCCTGTGCAGTGCCTGTGGGCAGTATAATGTGTGTGCCAGAGACGTGCCATAGAGCAGGGACACGTCCCCGGGGGACATGGACGACACACACACACACACACAGATCTGCAGTACTGAGCCCTCCCCTCCATCACTTCTGTTTATGTAAATATTTCTCCATGGATATAGTAACCAATCTCATCTAAACACAGGGAGGGATTGTACAGCACAACATCCGACTCCAGACCAGCCTTCCTCAACCACGGTGACTAGGTGATCATTGAGAAATCAGACATTTCTGTCACAGCACATATCAATCAGCTTTCATCAGTCTATAGAGGGGACGTTCTTCCACCAATGTAAGAGGAGCATTTTTCCCACCCACCACCAATGTAAGGGACATAATAATTCCCACCCGCCACCAACGTAAGGGACGTTCTTTCCTTCAGCCACCAACGTAAGGGACGTTCTTCCCTCCCGCCACCAACGTAAGGGACGTTCTTCCCTCTCGCCACCAAAGTAAGGGGACATTCTTCCCACCCGCCACCAACGTAAGTGGACATTCTTCCCACCCGCCACCAACGTAAGTGGACAAGTGGACGTTCTTCCCACCCGCCACCAACGTAAGGGATGTTCTTTCCTTCCGCCACCAACGTAAGGGACATAATTCCCACCCGCCACCAAAGTAAGGGACGTTCTTCCCTCTCGCCACCAACGTAAGGGACATAATTCCCACCAACGTAAGGGATATAATTCCCACCCACCACCAAAGTAAGGGACGATCTTCCCTCTCGCCACCAACGTAAGGGACATAATTCCCACCCGCCACCAAGTAAGGGACATAATTCCCACCCACCACCAACGTAAGGGACGTTCTTCCCACCCGCCACCAACGTAAGGGACGTTATTCCCACCCGCCACCAACGTAAGGGAGGTTATTCCCACCCGCCACCAACGCAAAGGAAGTTCTTCCCATCCGCCACCAACGTAAGGGGACGTTCTTCCCCCCCGCCACCAACGTAAGGGGACGTTCTTTCCATCCGCCACCAACGTAAGGGGACGTTCTTCCCCCCCGCCACCAACGTAAGGGGACGTTCTTTCCATCCGCCACCAACGTAAGGGGACGTTCTTCCCCCCCGCCACCAACGTAAGGGGACGTTCTTTCCATCCGCCACCAACGTAAGGGGACGTTCTTCCCCCCCGCCACCAACGTAAGGGGACGTTCTTTCCATCCGCCACCAACGTAAGGGGACGTTCTTCCCCCCCGCCACCAACGTAAGGGGACGTTCTTTCCATCCGCCACCAACGTAAGGGGACGTTCTTCCCCCCCGCCACCAACGTAAGGGGACGTTCTTTCCATCCGCCACCAACGTAAGGGGACGTTCTTCCCACCCGCCACCAACGTAAGGGGACGTTCTTTCCATCCGCCACCAACGTAAGGGGACGTTCTTTCCACCCGCCACCAGTGTAAGGGACGTTCTTCCCAGCCACCACCAATATAAGGGACATTCTTCCCACCCACCACCAATATAAGGGACATTCTTCCCACCCACCACCAATATAGGAGGAGCTTCTTCCCAGTCACCACCAATACAAGGGGCATTCTTCCCAGTGACCACCAATATAAGGGGCATTCTTCCCACCCACCAATACAGGAGGAGCATTCTTCCCAGTCACCACCAATACAAGGGGCATTCTTCCCAGTGACCACCAATATAAGGGGCATTCTTCCCACCCACCACCAATACAGGAGGAGCATTCTTCCCAGTCACCACCAATACAAGGGGCATTCTTCCCAGTGACCACCAATACAAGGGGCATTCTTCCCACCCACCACCAATACAAGGGGCATTCTTCCCACCCACCACCAATATAGGAGGAGCATTCTTCCCAGTGACCACCAATGGAAGGGAGCCCATCTCCACTGACTACCAATCTAAGGATGACCTTCTCCACTGACCACCAATCTAAGAGGGCCCTTCCCTCACCGATCACCAATGTAAGAGGTCACTTCTCCACTGACCACTAATGTAAGAGGACAGTTTTCCACAGACCATTAATGTGTGTGTGGGTTGGGGGAAGATAGCAGCATTTTCTGGCCATTAGTAGGATTTGTTTACTTTTATTATTTTTACTGACACTAATTTTGTTATATAGAGCAGCCCTGGGTGTTAAATAGTTTGGGTATGCTACATTCTTTTGCCCATGCCAATGTATAGTGAGCTGTAGGTATAGCAATTATTAGTTTGGTTTCCTGAGACCCTGAAGTTATTTGCATGTTAAAGGAGAACTATGGGGTCAGGGCTTTTCCCCATAGTTCTCCTTAGGGTAACGGGAGGACACAAACTAGCATCCTCCCGTCACCCTAAGCTCAGTATACCGCGAGCTACAGCTCGCGGTATACTGAGACGCCGCAGCGGATCGCGACATCGATGTCGAGATCCGCCCAGCTGCGTGAGTGACAGCTGGCTCTGCCTATCTAGAGGCAGAGCCAGCTGTACCCGCCCCCTCCCCCGTCCGTTCCGCCAGTCAGCGCTGGCAGATCGGAGCGGGGAGAGGGGAATCCAGCCC